AAGCTTCGTGCACACACGGGTCGACTCAGCCGGGGGCATAACAAAACAATAATTATTTTATATTTTTTGTTATGAAAGAAAAATTTAATAAGATTTTATCATAAAATAGTTGTTAACATTAATTAATATAATTTAAATAACTATTCAGTGAATATAAATTTCTGTTTAATACATACGTATATATATTTATTAAGTATCTCGATCCGGTATATATCAGGAGACACGATAGTGGCTTGGTGTCAAGTGTTTAACTATAATATGAATATAAATAAAATATATGTATTCTATCATAATCATATGTCAATATGTCAAGCCATATATGTATGTCGGATCCTTTTTAATTACATAAAATCTTGTTATTTTTTCATTTAAAGAATTTTTGTACGATTTCTTAAAAAATTGTGGATTTTCATAAAATATTAAATATGTACGTAAAGAAACGAAGAAACAACATATATATTTAAATTTTTATTGACAATTCGAATCGTAAAAAGCTTAAAAATTCCGTTTTCTTGTAGTATTATATGCGAAGTTACAACCGTTTAGAAATATTCATCTCCAAGTGTAAAAATTTTCTCCCAACTTCTGTGGAAACTTGTAGTATTTTATGAAAATTTAAGAAAGTAAAATTATATAGATTTTCACGGATTCATCAATCGTAGAATACTGAAGAATATTGTTCTTCATAGAAATTTGTAATTGTTGGGATATTGCAGTCGATATTGTCACGTACACGGAAAATAAAGTGAAAGAGAATCTTTTAAGAATATAGAGCGTAGATTTATTACGTCTGAACGCAAAGGAATACATGTAAGGACGGACGAACAAAGGCAGTCGCAGCGCCACCGATAACTCATAAAATAAAAACTACATAGAATGGCGTCTGCTAACTATTACCAATACCGCCTCGAGATCACTAACCAATGAAATTTAACTTATACCAACAGTAATATTCTATGCAAAAGTAAAAATATGAAACAAAAAATGACAAGTTTTAATTATAGCCAAAATTGCAATAGATTTTAAACTTGTAAAAACAAATCGTTTTTTGTTGATATATGTAAAAAATTGTAATATTTTATGGGAAATCAAAAACAGATTTGGATTCAAAATTCAATAGTTTTATGATACGTTGATTCTAGTAGATTTCTGTAATCATTCCTAAATAATCGTAGTATTCTACAAATAAGTAAATGTTTTAACTACTGAAGATTTTGTTTTTTCTCATTTTTCAAAATTTGTAGATTGTTGTACTATTTTCTAAAAATTTATGGATTTTCATGTAACATTACTTTTATTACTTTCTTGATTTTAGAAAATTGTAATTAGTGGTACTATTGCATAGATATATTTTTACAAAAAAATAAATATTTCTACGGAAATATAGAAAATAGAAATTTCGATAAATTTTTATTTTTAGTAAAAATTTGTACTTGTTTGTAGAAATTTTTTTCGTTAGAAAATTATTAGATGGTAGATTTGTGTAGAAACTTGTAATATTAAATAAAAAAGTAAAAATTTTAATAAGCCATAATTGAAATAGATTTTGTAGTTGGAAAAACAAATTGTTTTTGTTGATACACGTAGAAAATTGTAGTATTTTAGGGGAAATTAAAAACAGATTTGGATTCAAAGTTCAATAGTTTTATGATACGTAGATTCTGGTAGATTTCCATACCCTGCCGAAAATGTTCGATTCAAACCGATTATAAAAAAAGTTATCCGAATCGATCGGGATTTCTGCACTGAAAATACGGTATCAAAAAGGATTAAAATTATTCAAATCGGATATAAATCACTTTAGACGGATTAGTATCAGGTGATAGGAATCTATGTCAATCCAAACTTCGACGATTGCTCGTACAAAAAAAGCAATTGGTCGATGCAAAATTTATTGATATATAAATATATCATGACAAAATTAATTATATAGTTCAACTAATAATAAAATTATATATATATTTTATTATTCTAAATGTAATATAGAATTAATCAAACCAATAACAAGAAAAAATTTTCGAACCAAACTCGAATTTATGACGAATGTAAGGATTAATACAACATTTTAATGCATATTATTTCAGGACACAAATCTCAATCGAAATGGATTACTTTTTTTAATCGGTTTTAATCGCATTTTTTAAACTAACGGTCACCCATCCAAGCCACGACTGCCGTCAACGCTACTTGACTTCTGTGATTGAGAACTGCAGTTCCTTGATCACAGAAGTTAAGCAGCGTTGACGACAGTCGTGGCTTGGATGAGTGACCGTCGTTTAGAACATAATTGTAGATCGGCGTAGTTTTACGTACAAATTTGTAGATTAAATATAATCACAAATTTTGACGACAATCTACAAAAGTGTTCCAATTCTAGCATTTTTATGTAGATTTTTATAGCATTTTTTAAATTTCTGTAGAATTTCATAGATTCTGACAATTATTTTTTTGCAGTTTTTTGTAATAATTTTTATTTTTTTTTAAATTTTGTAGAATTTTGTAAAATTATGTAGAATTTGTCCGTCTGAGAATGCAATAAAAAAATACAAAAATTGACAAAAGTGTTCAAATTCTGGCATTTTTATGTAGATTTTTGTAGCATTTTTTAAAGTCATGTAAAATTTTATAGATTTTCACAGTTATTTTTTGTAGTTTTTTGTAGAAA